AGAAGCTTGGGCCCAGCCAGCCAGCACCTTGTGTGGGTGTGAGGAAGATGCTTCCCAGGGCTCTTACTCACCCTTTCCCCATAGATGGACTTAGCTCTCTTTGTGTGTGTGCAGGCCACTGGAAAGATGGATGAAAACCAGTTTGTGGCTGTGACAAGCACTAATGCTGCCAAAATCTTCAACCTGTATCCACGAAAAGGGAGAATAGCAGTGGGCTCGGACAGCGATCTGGTTATATGGGATCCTGATGCAGTAAAAATCATCACAGCAAAAACCCATCAGTCTGTAAGTCCTCTGCTCTTGTGCGTGAACGCTGGAGGGTGGCGGGTGAGTAGTTTTGTCGCCTGGCTGCTGGGAGCCTGGTGCTGTCCTGCTTGGCTCTGAGGAGGAGGGACTGAGCCCGGGCTCTGGGCAGTGCCTGTTGTGGCCAGGGATTGAATGTCCACGAGCCCGAGGCACATGGGGCTTTTTTCCCCCTGCTGGAGTATTCTTCTTCTGACCCTGGCCTATGCAGGTGGAAAGACACATTTCTCCTTACCTTGGTTCCTCTTCCAGGCACAAATTTTTTTCCAGGCATTGCCACAGTGCTTTGTTTCTGCCTTACCTCAAGCCTAGGTCCTGCTTTGTCTGCTCTGGGAGTTCTTCCTCACGCTGAGCTTCAAACCAGCAGGTCCTGGTTCACACTGGGAACTCTGGTGGGCTTTTACTGTGAGGGGCTAGTGAGCTACAGGAGGCCTCTGAGCATGCAAGGCTTTAGGGGTGTCTTCTGCCTGCATTGGTGACTCCAGCAGTGAGGTGTGGGGGCTGACCCACCCTGAGTGGGCAGACAGTGCTCTTGTCCCTCCTGACCATCATCCTGGGGTTGCTGCAGGTGGCTGAATACAACATCTTTGAGGGGATGGAGCTCCGTGGGGCCCCACTGGTTGTCATATGCCAGGGGAAGATCATGCTGGAGGATGGCAACCTGCATGTGACCCAGGGGACCGGACGATTCCTGCCCAGCAGCCCTTTCCCTGACTACGTCTACAAGCGCATCAAGGCCAGGAGGAAGGTGAGGAGGTGGGGATGCCAGGAGACAGAGTTGGGTTATTGGTAGCCCAAATTGCTCTTATTAACTGCTTGGTTTTCATTTGCTGTTCTTGCTGGACCCTGTTAGCAGTGCTCCAAATTCCTGGTGTATTTTGAATATACAAAATGACTGAGGCTTGGATAGGGAGTCCTTTGTGTTAGTGATGTGCCGTGGTGGAGACAGATGCTCCTTCAGGTTAGCAGTGGTAATGTCTCTCTTCATCCTGTCATGCTGCAGCAGGGGTCTGGAGGGAAACACTGTTTAAAGTGAAGAGATTGGCCAAAATCGCCTTCTCCTCCCTGATACGTGCAGCATAAACCCCATCTGGGGGATAGCCTCTTGCACTGGCTCTGCACACCTTGCAGGGCAGCGGGGCTGTGCCAGGCCTCAGTGCTGCAGGGCTGTAGCAATGTGACACCCTTCTGCAGGGGGACTGAGGAGCTGGTGGATGGCTGGAGCTTGATGTCATTGTCCTCTTCTCTCTGGTGACAGATGGCAGAGGTGCATGCTGTGCCCCGGGGCTTGTATGACGGACCCGTGTTTGACCTGACCACCACCCCCAAGGGGGGCACCCCTGCGGGGTCAACCAGGGGGTCCCCCACGCGTCAGACCCCGCCCGTCCGGAACCTCCATCAGTCTGGATTCAGCCTGTCAGGTGAGTACGTGCTGTGCCTGGGCTGGGAGGGGGCAGAGCCACTGGCCCTGTGTCCCTGTCCCTGGCCTGGGGCAAGGGGCAGTGAGAGGTGGCCTGCACCAAGGTAAGCACAAGAGTGGATCATGGCAGGGCAAGATCCCGTGTGTCCCTTAAAGGGCATGGCTGGAGCTGCACCTTGCAGGAGCAGCCAGGCAGACTGCCTGGAGGCCGCTGTGGCCGTGGAGGCCAGCACAGCATCCGATGCTGTTCCTGCTGTGTGGGTCTGTTCACGAAGCATCTGCAGAGACGTTAAAGCCACTGCGGCTCTGAGCTGCTGCTGGAGTTAGAGAGGGAACAGGTTGCAGCAGATAGCCTCTGGAGGGCCTTGGCAGGACTCCAGGCTGCCTGGCTGCTCAGTCTGTGAAGAAGATGCTCTTAACTTTACTTTGCCCGTTCCCTCTGCACTCTGATCCCATCCCAGGTACCCAGGTGGATGAGGGCATGCGCTCAGCGAGCAAGCGCATTGTCGCGCCCCCGGGAGGCCGCTCCAACATCACCTCCCTGAGCTAAATGTCCCGGCTGAGGAGGAGACAAAACCCTGTTCAAGCAAAGGAGGAAAAATGGTACATTGGTGTTGAAGAATGAAAAGAAATAAACCTGTTCTGAAGAATCAATAAGCCTCAAGCCTTATGTTTCACAAATGCTACTTGCTACCTAGCTTTAAAGATGTTGCTTCATTTTGTTTTTGCATAGCCTTAAAGTTCTGTTGTTGTTACTGTTGTGGGTTTGGTTGGGTTGTGTTTTGCTCTTCCTCTCTGTATGCATGCTGCTCGGACAGGTTGCTCGGTTCAATGTTATTGGTGTTGAACGTGTGTGGGATGCCGTGGTGTGGGACAGTGGGAATGGCCCACAGGGCGCCCCGGCCAGGCAGGTGAGGGGCAGGGTCTGGCCAGGGCACGATGTCGGATGGGGAGGGCAGGTGCACTGAGCTCGTAGGGAGAGGTGGTCTGTCACATTCATCTCCTTCATCTCCACCCAAAGCTCTGGCGTTTCATCATGAGGCCTGTGGGGGAGCTCGAATCATCTCTGTAACAGCTGTCACAGCACCTTGTGTAAGGAGTTTTACTACTTTGTACACTTTATTAAAAAAAAAGTTGTTCCTTCAAACAGCTCATGTTGTCGGTTGGCTCTTCTCTTCCTCGGGCCCCTGCAGCTTGGCAGGGGCAGTGCCCAGCTGGGAACTGGGCTGGGCAGCACAGGGGTTTGGGGGGTGTTGGGGCTGGAGGGGCAGCAGCATGCAGTGCTCGCTGCTACACCCGTCAGGGTGTTGGTGTGGCTTCTCAGGCAAAGGCAAAGGCATTGGCAGAGCAGCACAACGCAAGTGTTTGTAACAGCTATCCAGTTTGTCCACGCAGTCTCTGAGCCTGGCCTGGCCACCCTGGGCTGTGGCTGCCTGGCCAGAGCAGTGCCTGTGCTCTGTGTGTTGGCAGGGACCAGCTCCACGTGGCGCTGCCTGGGCACGGCTTTGGGGCCATCCTGCCCAGACAGCCTTGGAGGCTGCTTTCTGTGGACTCCTGTCAGTGAAATGCTCCCTTTCCATCAGGCATTGTCTATTAGAACGAAAGACACTGTCCTTTAAAGCTTGCAAAGCACAAAAAAAAAGTGATTTTTGTTTAAAGACTACAGAATTAAAGGTCAGCTTTGGCTATGCTAAACAAATGCACTTTTCCCTCTCCTTCTTTAGTATTTGACCTTGAAATATTTTTTTTACATGTCTGCAACTGAGGCAAGGCAAGCTGTCTCTGCCGCAGTCCTTAAGGGGCCAGGCTATAATAGTTGTGCCAGGGTGGGGAATGCTGTGCTTACAAGCATTGTGAAGTTCTTCCATCAAGTAATTTAGGCTTTTGCCTGTTGCCTGGTAGAGAATAAGCTGAGACTGTGCCTCTGTGTACAGAGGAAGAGGGGAATAGAGAGATGGTTGTAGAAACCTTTAAATTTCTACATTTTAAAATTTTTAAATATGCAATGTTCTTTCCATTTTTAAGGACTTCAGTTGTTTTGGGGCTTTTCTGACCAGCCAGTGGAGAGGTATTTCTGCAGCAGCAGATTTTTCCCTAGTGAGGAGGAGAGCTGGGATTTCAGATAAATACACTTATGGTATGTGCACCTCTGCCTGCACCAGAGCAAGGCAGCGATGGCGATGTGCTGTGCAGGAGACAGGGACAGCTCTCAGCGCAGTCCTGCCTGGTGCCAGACCTGCTGGAGGACTGGGCAGAGAGCCGAGGCTCCATGGAGAGCGCTGGAGGTGCTCTGGATAGCCTTTCAAGCACAGGACTTCTCAGTGGGGTGGAGACTGCATGTCTCTCTGCCTTGGACTCGTCATTCCCAGGAAGGCTATCCTCACTGTTCCTGAGGACGGTTCCTGCTTGGAACTTGATTTAAATCAAGTGTGATTTCAGTGGTAGAGACATTCAGAATATACATTTAAATTCCCATCTGATTTTGGAAGCCAAACTCCAACACATTCAGTGAGCTGCAGCAGTTTTAACATGATGGTGAATGTATTTTTCAGGCTAGACTGGTAAAGCATCTGGATTCACCAGCACCTGGTTGTTACAGCTTGGTGTCCACATCTGTCTGCACATTGGCCACCGACCATGCCAGCCCTGCTGGGTACATGGAGAGAGCACTAAATGGGCAGGAAACCTTGGCTGCCTCCTCGCAGCTAAGGAAGGAGCTCATCTCCAGCCTCCTGTGCCCCCTCACAGGATGCTTGCAGGAGCTGTCTGTAAGCAAAGGCCACTTTTGTCACAATGCATTGGTGAAGGTCCTGCATCTGGGAGCCACCTCTTCCCGCTGGGGAACCAGCCATGAGCCCATGCATGGGAATGCCAACATCTGCAGAGCGCTGTGGCACAGCGTGGGCACCTCCCAGCACCGTGCAGCAGCTGCCTGCATGGTGACACCAAGGGCTGTGGCACCTGCCAGCCGAGCCAAAGCAGTGAAAACTGTCTTGTCCATTGTCTTGTGGTCCCATTCCTGCCCTCATGAAAGGCAATGTGATAGGATCTGAGTCTGACCAGCTGTGGCCAACTGCAAGGCAGCCCCACAGCCTCTCATGGACCCTTGGGCTGTGGGATGAGCTGAGGGAGGGGTGCCCCAGCTCTCCTCTGTGCCCTGGGCTGCTGGCACGGTCCCAGCAGCAGCGGAGGACAGTCCACGGCCTGGCATTGTGAAGGTGGATGGGTGGGTGAGCCCCAGTGCCACGAGGAGTGCCCTGCAGGGGCTGAGCTGCTCTCAGAGGTTGATGTTCTGATTGTCCTCCCTGTGTGGGCCGCCACTTTTTGTCATGGTCTCTTGGATGCTGTCATGGTGGGGTCTTACCCTTGGGATAGAAAAGGATGATTGAGCTGTGAGGAAAAGCCCAGGCAGTGCCAAGACCCCATAGAGGTACAGCTGCCTTGGAGCTGCCCATGCCTGGCACTGCCACTCGCTGCACAGCTCCTCCAGCCCCGGGTGCCCCAAGCTCCTCCAGCCCTGGGTGCCCCAAGCTCCTGAGCCCCGGGTGCCCCAAACTCCTCCAGCCCTGAGTGCCCCAAGCTCCTCCAGCCCTGGGTGCCCCAAACTCCTCCAGCCCTGGGTGCCCCAAACTCCTCCAGCCCTGAGTGCCCCAAGCTCCTGAGCCCCGGGTGCCCCAAACTCCTCCAGCCCTGAGTGCCCCAAACTCCTCCAGCCCTGAGTGCCCCAAGCTCCTCCAGCCCTGAGTGCCCCAAACTCCTCCAGCCCTGAGTGCCCCAAACTCCTCCAGCCCTGAATGCCCCAAGCTCCTCCAGCCCTGAGTGCCCCAAGCTCCTCCAGCCCTGGGTGCCCCAAACTCCTCCAGCCCTGAGTGCCCCAAACTCCTGAGCCCTGGGTGCCCCAAACTCCTCCAGCCCCGAGTGCCCCAAACTCCTGAGCCCTGGGTGCCCCAAGCTCCTGAGCCCTGGGTGCCCCAAACTCCTCCAGCCCTGAGTGCCCCAAGCTCCTCCAGCCCTGAATGCCCCAAACTCCTCCAGCCCTGAGTGCCCCAAGCTCCTCCAGCCCTGGGTGCCCCAAGCTCCTGAGCCCCGGGTGCCCCAAACTCCTCCAGCCCTGAGTGCCCCAAACTCCTCCAGCCCTGAGTGCCCCAAGCTCCTCCAGCCCTGGGTGCCCCAAGCTCCTGAGCCCTGGGTGCCCCAAACTCCTGAGCCCTGGGTGCCCCAAACTCCTCCAGCCCTGAGTGCCCCAAGCTCCTCCAGCCCTGAATGCCCCAAACTCCTCCAGCCCTGAGTGCCCCAAACTCCTCCAGCCCTGAGTGCCCCAAGCTCCTCCAGCCCTGGGTGCCCCAAACTCCTCCAGCCCTGGGTGCCCCAAACTCCTCCAGCCCTGAGTGCCCCAAGCTCCTGAGCCCCGGGTGCCCCAAACTCCTCCAGCCCTGAGTGCCCCAAACTCCTCCAGCCCTGAGTGCCCCAAGCTCCTCCAGCCCTGAGTGCCCCAAACTCCTCCAGCCCTGAGTGCCCCAAACTCCTCCAGCCCTGAATGCCCCAAGCTCCTCCAGCCCTGAGTGCCCCAAGCTCCTCCAGCCCTGGGTGCCCCAAACTCCTCCAGCCCTGAGTGCCCCAAACTCCTGAGCCCTGGGTGCCCCAAACTCCTCCAGCCCCGAGTGCCCCAAACTCCTGAGCCCTGGGTGCCCCAAGCTCCTGAGCCCTGGGTGCCCCAAACTCCTCCAGCCCTGAGTGCCCCAAGCTCCTCCAGCCCTGAATGCCCCAAACTCCTCCAGCCCTGAGTGCCCCAAGCTCCTCCAGCCCTGGGTGCCCCAAGCTCCTGAGCCCCGGGTGCCCCAAACTCCTCCAGCCCTGAGTGCCCCAAACTCCTCCAGCCCTGAGTGCCCCAAGCTCCTCCAGCCCTGGGTGCCCCAAGCTCCTGAGCCCTGGGTGCCCCAAACTCCTGAGCCCTGGGTGCCCCAAACTCCTCCAGCCCTGAGTGCCCCAAGCTCCTCCAGCCCTGAATGCCCCAAACTCCTCCAGCCCCGAGTGCCCCAAACTCCTCCAGCCCTGAGTGCCCCAAACTCCTCCAGCCCTGAGTGCCCCAAGCTCCTCCAGCCCTGAGTGCCCCAAGCTCCTCCAGCCCTGAATGCCCCAAACTCCTCCAGCCCCGAGTGCCCCAAACTCCTCCAGCCCTGAGTGCCCCAAACTCCTCCAGCCCCGAGTGCCCCAAACTCCTCCAGCACGGCCCCCCCCCGCCCCATGCCCCCCAAAACTGTCACAGGCTTTGGCAAGGGCCAGTGCCTCTGCTGCTGCCTCTGGATCAAAACTTACTTTTCTCTGTTGAAAACAATGAAGTCTCTCTGGAGTATTTCCAGGTGCTTCTGGAGGTGGCTGGCCTTTCATATTGGAATGGAAAAATAAAAATATAGGGAATAAATTCACAGTTTACACAGAAGAACATTGCAAGGGGCAGTTTCAATGACACATGGCAATCTGTTTAGGCACAGAGCACCTTTAGCCCTGCAGTGGGGAGAATGGCATTAAGGCTCTCCTCTTGCAGTAAAGCAGTGCATACACATTCTGCCCTTCACCACAGGGAAGATGGAGAGAGTTTCAGGAATAAAGTTGGTCACAATGGAAAAAAATATTCTGTTCAGTTTACTGTGGTCTTACTAGATAGCAGTCATTGAAAAATGAAGGGCCTTCCATGCTTGTACCTGTTTGCTCTCACCTGGGATGAATTGATTTTGCTTGTGTCTTTCTCCTTCTTAGCCAAGCGCTTTTTTTTTTTGTGAAGAGGTTTGGATTCCAGGATCATTTCTTCCAGTTCAAAGGTTGGGTCACAGTTCAGTTTGCCTTTCTGGAGGGGAGAGAGAAGTGGCCTTAAGCAATCAGAGCCTGTCTTAAGTAGTCTCTTATAACATGGACTGCATTTGGGAGCTGAATTTTGTAAAAAAAATGCACTAATTATAATTGCACATGCAGCCAAGAGCACTGGCTATACTCCTGATATACTTTATCAGTCCCTTCAGATATGGATCGTATTCAAGGTGTCACAGTGGCTTCTTTTGTGCTCCTGCTTCTGCTCTGCCCTTTGCCTGCTTTGGTGTGGCAATGAGGATGAGGACAGTCCTGGCTGGGTTGTGCCTTTTTGAGAGTAGCACAACAGCCCAGTGGAACTGGTCTTCAAGCAATAGAGAATCATACCCACCACAGAGAAACCCAGCAACAAGGGCAGATTTACAATTTACAAATATTCATAGTTTAGCCCAACTTCTGCTGAAAACCAGTTGGAGTAGTTGGATTATTCTTTATAAGGGTTATGTTAGTTATGTGCTGTTTTAATTCAAGTTAAAAAGGCCCATAAAACAACTCTAGTGCATGTGCTGTTTACTGTTAACAATGAGCTTGTTGGGGAAGCATTGCAGGAGAAAACAATTCCCATAAGATGGTGGGTGATCTCCCTCCTGGTGCCCTGGGGTTTTGGACGTGGGGAGCAGCATTGCTCAGAGCATGGCTCAGCACGAGGGGGCTCACAGGCACCGTCCCTCCCACACAGATGCACAGCCCAGTGGGCTGTAGCACCAGTTCTGCACCCAGAAATTCCAGGAACATTACAAACAGGGCATGTCAGTGTGGGGGCACCCACACTAGAGTCTCCCTCCATTACTCTTCGCTGCACACTCACGGAAGAGACCGCTCTGCCTGGGTCTCTCTTTTCTCCTTGTGACACCTGATGCTTCAGTGGAAATTTGTCAGAATGCCCCAGTGCTGGGTGTGGGGAACCCTTACACTCAGATGGCCTTACCACGGGAATGAATTCTGGCAGTATTCTTTTCTGGAGAACAGCATCCCAGTTCACATCAGACAGGTACGGGAAGGACTGGATGTCCTTGAGCTGAGAGAAACGTTTCTCGGGGTTCAGCTCGAGCAACTGCAGCAAGAGGTGAAGGGGAGAGATGAGAGCATCCCACAGGGCACCCATTCTGTGGAGCATGGCTGAGGCACACGGTGCCAGAGACCCTGCATTGACGCTGGCATTTGGAGCAGTGCCTCTCTGCTCTGGCTCGGAGTCCCTTCACCGGGGTATGCGACACGCTCACAAGCTCTGCCTCTGCTCACTCCCATTTTTACAAATTGCTTTTATCCCCATTGTAGGAGCCGGCAATGAGACAGTACAGTGGCATTAAACAATTTGTCCAATGTTAAAAACAAGCATTTGTTTGGAATGGGAAGTTCCACTCAGGTGTTTGTGCTCTGCTTTTAGTACTGGATCAGTAAAACATCCTCTTTTCTCACTCTACTAAAGTAATACTCTATTCCAGTGTGAAAGTGTGCCTTCACGCTGCTCATTTTCATAATTTTTCAACATTGCTGTAGGGATTACTTGTATGGAAGGAAAGGGTTGAGGTGGTCTCTGTTCAAGGATTACACATTGCATAAACTCCTGATACCTTGCACTCCTAAAACTCAGCAGGTAAACCAGAGGATCCGAAGGCTTTGGGGAATTTACAGGCAAGGTGACCTGCAGAGCCCTGCCCTGGCGTGCAGCCTGGCACCAGCCGTGTCCCAGAGCCCAGCTGCCTCTGCAGAGCCCCGGGCAGCCCGGCCAGCGCTGCGGCTCCGCAGCACAAACACAGAAACGCACAGGGATGGCTGAGCTGGGACGGAGCCACAGCTGGCGTCATATACAATACATATGGCTGCTAAACCAGATGCAAAGGAGCGCTGGGAAATTTAAATAATCGTGACACTGTACTATTTATTCACATGGAAGCCTCCATGACTTGTGGCCTGCTGTGGTCCAGGTTTTCCTGCTGGAAAACCAGCAGGAAACACACAGCCAGCATAGCAATACACAGGACATCTGCAGCAAATATTCCTGTGTTACTGTTAGGCTTAATGAAATACTGGCTTCACTGAATTTTCAGCAAATGGAGATATTCTGCAATTTTCTTTCTGGAAAATACACCATGATTCTGCCTCAGCAAAGAATTGACTGATACCTTTAACCTTTTTGTTAAAATATTTGATAATCTATTTCATTAGAAATTACAGAATACATATATATATATATATGTATTATTTGGAACAAAAACCAGTTGAAAGCTACACGAAGTACTACTTCATTGCCCACACTTATTTGAGATTAAAAAACTATTTACATACTTCCTTAAAATTTGCTGCCAGTGCTGCTATGCAGGGTGTAAGTGCTCAGCTTTGCTGCCACTGTTAAGCCCAAGTCTTGTTTATTGAAGCTATGGCTTCATTTCAAATGGGATTTCAGCTTCAAAATTATTCCAGTAATGATTTTGAAGCAATTTTTGTAACAGCTTTATTGAAAAAAAAAATTGCAGTGGTGCATAAACCACATGGCATCAAAAGATTACAACGGTGTCAGCACTTCTTGCAAATATTTCCATTACTGGAAAAAATGTTTCTTGAGGATTAAAAAAAAATGTGATTCTTGGAGTAAATTTATTGACACACGTATCAATATCTGCTGCTAAGTGAGTTAATTCCAGAGCGCGCAGCTCTGGAAGCCAAGGCTGCAGCATCCCGCCCGGAGCAGCGCAGCTCGCTGCATGGCCCTGGTGCAGCGGACGTTTGTCTGTCACACCGCGGGCTCTGCAGGCCCTGACCCGGCCTGGCCAGTGCAGGGCTGTGGGCGCAGGAGCCCTGGCACCGCCAGCCCCTCACCTTCCTGATGAGCCCCACCATGCCCGGGCTCCACGCCGCCGGGAACGCCACCGCCGCCGTCCTGAGCACGCGGGCGATGTCGCCTGGGGAAGCGCTGGACCGAATGTGGTACGGCCTCTGTGGGAAACACCGCGAGACAAGCGTGAATTTGTCTGCTTTTCAGACTCGAGAAATCCGGTTAGAGCACAGAAGCTTCATTCAGTCTCACTGTGCAGTCCCCAGCCTCCTGTGGGACATCTCTCCCTTGTGCCATGGCTCAGTCGAAAAAACAGAATGTCGGCAAGAACTACACTAATAACTGGACATTTAACAGCAGGACAGGCAGGAGCAAACCCCAGAAGTCAGGGTTATCAGGCAGTGGGAATTTGCTTGGACTTTTCAGTGTTTTTATCTTACAAGGCTGTGACAAATAGTGCTGTGGTTAGACCACTCCTGATACTCCCTGTAAAACGTTTTTCACCCATGCTGGGGACAATGCCAGTGAAAAACAAGCTGTTGCTTGTTTGCCTTGCCCCCTTATATCAACCCAGAGGGCCTCAGCTGCACAGGGAACAGCCACAAGATGCTGTTCTGTATTGCAGCAGCTTCTTTGAGCTCTTAGTCATGATCAGAGTAACCCTGGTGAAGATGTGATCTGTGCTTCCTCTGCTGTGACAAGTCCTAAAGCCTTGAATTCAGCTTGGCCATCTCACCTCACCTCTGCTGTAAGGCATTACCCTCCCCAGAGCATGTCCAAGGGCACAGCGAGCCCGGCCATGGGCCCCACACGTACCCGGGTTCGGAGCAGCTCGTAGGCAGTGACTCCCAGCGACCACCAGTCCACGGCAAAGGAGTAGCTGGTGGGTTTTGTGGAGCTGAACATTTCAGGCGCTGTGAAAACAGGGGGGAAATTGCCATGCTGCAATCCCCAGTGGAATTGAGCAAAGAGAACCCCAGAGCCCTGCCCTGCCCGTGCTGCCATGCTCCTGCACCGGGGCCACCCGCAGCCCTCAGCCCTCTCCACATGAAACTGTCTGTGCTTCTCTGCCCCAAGCCCAGGAAGAGCAAACTCCTTTTGCTGACACGGGAGCTGCCTACATTCACAGTCAGTGTGCTCCAGAATGAGCACTTTCACTCAGCCCAGGCATGAGGGGGCCCCAGTGTCTCCTCAGCCCCCTGTGAGGGAGGGCACACAATCCCCAGTGCACTGAGGCATTTCTGGGGGGGACCCCTGTGCCCACCCTGCGTCCCCTCCCCAGGGCGCTCCTCACTTCACACTCTGCGTGTTTTACTGTGGATCAGGAAGAAAAGAGTCCCAGCTCTAACCAAAGCTGTCTCCACCCGTGTCCCACCACAGCACTGCCTCCAAGCCCTCAAATGGAGATTCCAGAACAGGCAACTGCCTTTGGTTCTCACCCATGTAGGGCTTGGTGCCAGCGATGGTGGTGACAGGGCTCTCCTTGGTCAGCATGGTGGCAATATTGAAATCAGTGACGTGCACGTGTCCTGAAAGACAGAGGCCAACGTGTAACAGGCTTGGCTTTAATTTCACACAAGAAATAGCTCTGAATCAGAAACATAAAGTAAAATACTCAATAGAAAGGAGTTTCCAGGTAAAAAAATCTGGTGGGACAGGGGCCCCAGCACCTGCAGGCAAAGCCACTTTGCTGCCAGCTCCTAAATAAATTATCAGCCCCTGCTCTGAAATTGGAGGCCATGTGCAAATGGATCGAGTCTGGCTCGGCGCTGCCAGGCAACCCTGGTGACATAGACCCTGTCACAGAGCCAGGCAGGGCCGCCCTCGGAGCTCAGCATCTCTGACACCGCCTCTCAGGCCATGACAAAGCAGCTGTGCCTCCTCCCTGCACCGACTGTTCAAGCACCTTGCTCTAGCTGCTAATGAAGATTTCTCACAACAATAGTTACCTGGATTTAAAAAAAAATATGATCTTACAAACTAAAAAATATCAGACAACACTTCACTGTGAGATCTTTGCTGGGGAAAAATGTGACTGAAGAGCCATGCAAGAATATAGTCAAGAGTTTTGCTTATGAAAAACTATAGAAAATCCGATAGCAACACTTATACCTAGCCCCTAATCCTCCTCAGAGCTCCCTCCCTATGCCAAATGCTCAAGGAAAAATTAAATACGTGACCAAGGCTTATCCATTGCACCATAATTAATTCTGTTGTGCACAAACCCTGCAGTGACACAAGCATTGCCCTTCAAACGACACATTTTGAGTAGTTTTAAACCAAGAACCAGGAAAATGTTAAAATCAGGTGTGCTGGGCTCCTGATCCCAAGCAGCACCAAACATATGGTCCCTGCCAGTGTCTTGTAGGGACACCTTCAAGTCAGCGAGCCAAAGGAGGTGTTGGCTAAAACACCAAGGCAGCCCCAGAAGCACCAGAGCATCTCAGGCTGCCCGGTGCCCTGAAGGTACAGGACGCTGCTGCTCAGAAAGCAAGAGACAGCGAGTGAGCACGAAGGGATGGGCTGATCCAGCTCCCAGCTGGGCTGAGCAGGAGAGCCCCGCACCAAAGGACGGCAGCAGCAAGCGCCGAGAGCGCAGCTTGTCTCCTGCTGTACATTTATATAAACACACACAGCCTCCTGGCTGCTGCTGAACGCTGGCACGACCACAGAGCACGCGGCACTTACCGCGCTCATCCAGTAAGATGTTGTCGGGCTTGATGTCTCTGAGAAACAAAGCAGAGAAGGAGAGACAGCCGTTAGCCTGAGAAGCGGCAGGAAGCAGCTGCTGGCACCCCAGGACAGCAGCTCTGGGACACGGGTGGGGACACTGCACCCTCAGAGCCTGCGGACATGTATTCCCACAGCTGATGGTGCCCTTGGGTTGGGGTGTGACAGGGTGACAGCCCACCAGCCCCAGCAGCAGCTGCCAGGCCGCAGGGTGGGCAGCACCCACTCAGTGCACCCACAGCTCAGTTAGGGAGTCTCTTTGTCGTTTTCCTCCTGTCACTTTTCAATCTATTTCAGTACTGTATGAGAAGGGGTCCTCAGTACAAATTAAAGTATTTTAACATCATTGTTCTAGACACAAATGGGTTACCCACAGGTTTTATTCCTAAGTAAAAGGATCCCAAAAAATAATACCTATAGCAATGCTGTAGGGAAACACTAACTGAAGGCAGAAAGCATACACCTGATACAGCTACAGTGTCACCTGAGTGACTTTACAAGCCATTACCTGGCTTTAATGAGCTCATTACACCAGTGTCCATTGAGCACCTGGCCAGCTGGTGCCCCAGAGAAAAGGTGCCAGCCAGCAGGCAGGCAACAGGTGCAGGGACCTGTGCCAGCTGGTGCTCCCCACCCGGCGCAGGAGGGCCAAGTGAAGAAATGAACACGTTTTGGATTTTATCTTTAAAAATTCAATCATTAGGATAGAGTTTGAGTTCTCCAAGCCACCTGGAATCAAAGCCCACAATATATCTAATTGTCATCTAATAGCTTACAGTTTTCTGGCATCTTGTTACCCAGCAACTTCCAGTGGGTTATAAACACTGGTTCCCTTCCAGGTGCCATCCCATCATACGGGTGGGTATAGGGACAGGCATTGTTAGCAGAGCAGGGCAGTGTCAGGTAAGCAGCTGATTTTCCCCCTAAGCACAGTGGAACTGTTTCCTTTTTTTTTTTTTTTTTTTTTTTTTCCCTCCAAAGTTATTACTTTTTAATTTCTATTGTGTCTGTTTCTGATCTCCCTCAGTCTGGCATACAGCCTCTGAAATTACACCAGCACAGTAAGATCATTCTCAGGATGCAAACAAGTACCAAGATAATTCTTGTTATTGCTCATTTGTATATTTCTTTTTATAAGCTGGTTCTATAATTTCCTAACCTAAAAGATAATAATATTTCCCATTCTTTTACATCTAGGTGGGAAATAATTGCAGCCTGAGTTTGGTGTCTCTGCACAGTTTTGTTCAGCCAAACAAAACCATTGCTTCCCTGTCTCCTGATGTTCCAAATTACAGCTGTTGCAGCGTAATTGCCTCAGACGAATCACTTTATCAATCAAATACTATCCCACTGGGTTACAGTGTTAATTAAACAACTTGCATTACAGTGTTAATTAAATAACTTGCAAATTTTACAGCCTGCCATACATGTTTTGTTGTACTTGATTTACCTTAAGCACATGCAGCTGTGTGAAAATGACACTGCAACCTCAGCTGCAGTTTCCCCCACTCCTGTTCACTCTGGGGCGAAGACGGGTGCAGGTAAAGCACAAAAGCAGCAGTGTGAAAGAGGAGACCCCGAGGGGTGGGAGCTGAGCCCCCTGCAGCAGAGCAGAGCTGCTCTGGGCTCCTGTGGTGCAGGGACAGCAAGGGCTCATTCCTTCTGCCCCAGAGCCTGCACATGGCCCTGGACACTGCTCGGGACAGGCTTGACCCTCACCAGCTCCTCGCCATGGGTGCCTTCCCCACCAACAACCATTTCCATTTTACGCTTTCCATGCTTCGTTCTTATACTGCACAAGAATGCCCATCTGGAGCGGCATTTCTAACTGCAGTGACCTTCTCCCTGCAATCACTGACTCTCACAACCCTCTCTGACCATCCTCCCTGACAGCCAACTTGGACAAACTCCTGGGCCCTGAGCTTTGTGTGCCCCCACAGCAGCAGCAGAGCCGTGTGTCTGTCCATCCTCAGCCCAACCTGCTCCCAGCCAGGGCACCTCTGCCTCCTCTGCCCTTCTGCAGGGCTGCAAAGGCATGGGAAGAGCTCAGGCATTTTTTTCACTGGCCATGAGAAATTGTGGTAGCCAAAAGGAAACTCTCAGCATTTCTAAAAAGGGATTTACCTCATACAGGAAAAAGTTGTGTTTGGGCCCAGTCCTCGTATTTTGGTGCAATACAGAGGGGGGCAAAGGAGACATCTTCAGGCATGAACACAGGAGTTCTGAGGGCTGACACCTACTCTCCCTGGATGAGGATGGACATTAATGAGTTACAGCTAATTAAAACCTATTAGAGACATATTTTTACAGGATCAGTGGGCAATCAAATATGCTATTTCACAGCTATCCCAGAGGGACAAATCAGATGGTCTCTGCTGTATTTGAAATACTTTTCTGGGGGAAGCCTTGTGTTTCACATAAAAGCAAATACACATAGAACATGTTTATCACTTAAGCTTCTATTTGTTGTTTCACATAAAGGAGTAACAAGCCTGCCTGTGGCCTGGCTGACCTGTGGATGATGTGCCTGCTCTGCAAGTAGTCAAGGGCCAGCACCAGCTCACAGATGAAGAGTTTCACAGTCGCCTCTTGGAACCGCACGTTTTGTTGGAGGTGGTAGCGCAGGTCCCCTCCGAGCAGCAGGTCAACCACCATGAACATATCCTCCTCATCCTGGAATGAGTACCTGGAACAGCACACACGTGCTTCAAGGGCAGTAGCATTGAAAAGTGACAGGTAATAAAGGAACATGTGGTACTTCTGGGAATACTCATCATTTCTTGGAATTTTTCACTCCAAATTTCACGACCTTTCCATGCTCTGTTTCCCACCATTGTCACACTTGTGACAACAATAATTCAGTCTCAGGTCCATGGCAGAGTCAGAGCAGACTGTATGAACAGCCCAGGGTGGGTGTTCTGCCTTCTCTGAGCACCAGCAGGAGGTGACCACAGGAGGAGGCAGAGGAGCCTGAGCTGCACCCTGGCCAGAGCCGGCACTGAGGTCCCTGTGCCAGGGCAGCCTCTGCCTGGCACTGTGTGCTCAGCACCACAGGGGCAGCTGGTCTCTGCACATCATTGGATGGGCTGTGTCTCTCTGAGAGGGGCTGACAACAGCCATGAGCCCTTTCCTCATGGGCTTTTCCTCACCAGCACGCTGCTGGGTGTGCTGACCAGCACCACGAGCCAGAGCACACAGAGCTTGTGGCTGTGAGTCACCCAGAGGGCAGGAAGGACACGGGAATGCCAAAGGCATCCTGGAGCCAGGGCTGGCATGGCAAGAACAGCAGCAGGGACTCTTGGAGGGTTTGCTCTGTGCAGATCCCTACACAGACACACTGGTCAGCTTCCAGCTGCTGAGAGAGCTTTGCCTGGAGTTTGTGTTCAAGTAGGAAAGACAAGGTGGCAGATATTATATGGGAGGTGCAGCTGCACCTTTGCCATTCATACCCCAATAAGAACCACTCTAAATGGCAACAGCAGCAAAATACCAAGAGTTCACTGAACTGCACTCAGGTTACAGGAGATTTTAAAAAGGAAGAATTATGCAAAGATTTTTGGTCTTCAGTGTCTTTTAGACTATTTTGTGTGAGTGTGTTTAGCATTGATAATTTCTACTTTATTCTAAAAAGAAATCCGATTTCCAATAAATGTAATTACCCACAACCCTAGAGGAATGCTGAAACTACAGGATATTGTCCACTTTATCATGCAATATGTGAACTCACATCCCTTGGAACGTTACTGGTGTCCTCATAAAATTAAGAAGAAAGAAATGTCAAGGGATAACCAGCAAAGAGCTCTGCCTGGCCATCAATCCCACGCTGCCAGAAGTTGCTGGTGATTGCAAAGAGCTCCTTTCAATACAGGTGGGCTTGTGGTGACAGCCAATACCTGCCTGGGGGACACTGCAAAAGGACAGATGAATAAACTCTCTTGTGCTGCCTGAGAGAACAAGGGTGATAACTGCTTAACTAAACAGGATTTCCCTGAAACAAGAGCCCCAGTCAGTGGAACACACCAGGTGCTCCCAGGACAGGTTTAAAGCAGATGAGGAGGGTCTGATCTCAAAAGCGTCTGCAATTGACTCAACCAGTGAGCCTAGGCACCACCTCTTACCACAAATTAACCAGGAAAGGGTGTTCCAGGCCCTGCATAATCTGCAGCTCCTTGAAAACATTTCTCACTTCATTTCGCTCCACGCACTTCTGTTTGTTCATGTATTTCATGGCGTACATCTTCTTGGTGTCAGTCTTTTGCACCGCACAGACCTGGGAGAGCAGTCAGGGGATAAAACAGAGATGATTTGTCAGCAAATTTGGGCGGGTAAAACCCAGTGACAGGAGTGTGTTCCAGCAGCTCTGGCAGTGCTGACACTGCCGGGGCACAGCTCCATCCTCCAATGCTGCAACGCCGGCACTGCCTGGGAACTTCTCGGAAATTTCACCCAAAGAGAAATGTTTGGGGGAAGATAAGAGGAAGGAATTTATCATCACAACATGGGAGACAGGGAATCACAGAGAAGTCAACATTTTATTTAATGCCATTCACTAACCATCATGTCCACTCCTCCCACCTGATGCTGCTGGGGAGAGCCCCCTCCAGCACAGAGCTGCAGGTCAAGCACTGGGAGCAGCACCTGATCCGCACTGTCCTGAGCAGTGTCACTCAGTTCACAGGTGATCTTGGGCTTTGTTTAAGGAGTACTGGGCTTTGCTTTGTGGCTACAGAATGGAAAAGGATTTGGGCACTGATTCCTTTCTGATTACCAGGAATTGAAGGTCAAGGCTCACTGACAGTGCCTGGGCTTTGGTTCTGTACTCTCATGTGAGCCTCCAACTCATCGATTTCCACCCACTTACATCTCCAGCTGCCCACATGGTGATTAATTTCCAAAACACTCACTTTTCCAAAGCTGCCCTTCCCAATAGCTCGCAAAATCTCAAAATGGTCGAAGGTTACTGCAAGAAAGAACATTTCAATATTAAATGGCTGAGCAAACATTTGATGAAATTATGTTATTTCCACTTTCTATCCTTATGAGCTTTTGCCCTTCAGGGACAAAACTCCCATGCTCAGCTCAAAATTCACCAGCTCAGATGAACTGGTTTAAGAGATGCAAAGAAAGATAATACAATTGCTATAAAGAAGCAACTGCTGTGTAATCATGAAACATTGTTTTGTAAACAGGGGTCATATTTCTAAACCAAGGTTTAAGGAACAATGTTTAGATAAAAATACTGACCTAACCAGCCATAAAAAACATCCTTAGCAAAAGCAGCCAACACTGCTGAGGTGCCCAGGCTCATGTGCCAGGCAAAGCCAATGCTTTGGGGCTCAGGCTCCCTCATCCCCATTGCTCACCCCAGCACAGCCAGGGGTCTCATCTTGACCACTCTGGGAATCGGATCTCCTCGTAGCCTTGAACCTTCTGTCTGGTTATTATATTTTCATTTCACTTGCTTATCATCCACACCTGTCTGCTCAGAGGAAATGCTGAGAGAAAAATAATCCTGTCACCCTACTTCAGCTGAAGGTAAACAGAGCCCTTCAAGAAGTTCAAAGAGAAATTGTGGTGCTACAGAAAATAGTGAAATTATAGCAACAGCAATTTGGGAAAATATGCAAGAACTGTTAGGACTGGCACTGGAGCAGGTACACAACTCATGGTCCCAAAGGAAAAGCGTCCCTGTGGCACAGCTGCAGAGATGGGACTGGTGCCCACCACCTGCTGCCCGTGCCATGGAGCAGCGTGCTCTTTCCTACTGTACCTAGAAGCTCTTAATTAATTACAATTTTAATTGAAATCAGAATGAGGACAAGATTGTGACATCTAAGGTGAGATAGCCTCTGGTTACCAATTTGCAAGATAATGGAAAATTCCCTAGGGGGCATCTCTGTTTCAGCTGGGTTTCTCTCCCCTCAGTATATTAAAACATGACTTGTTAGAGAAAAAATGCAGTACCAATTTTTGAATTTGTGCAGGGCCATGGAAACAGAACTGCACCAGTCTGCACACCGTGTCAGCATGCAGGAGTGGCCCTGGGCTCACTGACACCCAACAAGCTGACAGCAAACCTCCCGACACGGTCAGGACAGGCCCTCCTGGCACTGTGCTTCTCAGTGGCAGAGGCTGGTGCTGTGTGAACACTGAACCCAGAGAGACCCAGCAGAGACCAGCCAGGAAAATCCCACAGCCCGAGCACAGCGCCCTGAGGAAGGTGGTCAGGAACACAACTGCTCTTTAACCCAAGCAAGCATAAGTGGTTGCTTATGAGAAATGCCAATAACGAGCATTTAGATGCAGCAGGAACCAAATCTTCAGGAAAACTTCACAGCACAGATTTCTTTTGCACTACAGAAATGGGAAAAATATAAAAACTGAAGAAAAACTGTAAGCAGTTGCATTAATAATTTGGAAACTGAAGCTGGTTTTGCTGAACAGCTGCAGACTGGCAGTGGCACCACAGGGCACATTGGAACAGCATTGATGGGTTACCCAGCTCTTTGTATGCTTTACGTTTATTACCATGTATTTGTATTTATCCACATATGCATATTGTTGTTGTACCTAGGTGAAAGCCCATATGGCAGTCAGCAAGCTGACTCATGCAACAGCAAATATATTTATGGAGCAATCTTTTAATGACTGTCTCTGTAATCTTGGCAGCACAGGGGGCCTGGCCTCCAACACTCTCCCAGCAGTAGTTTTCCAGCTCCTTTTCCAGCCAACCCATGCTGCAGGCAGTCCTGCCCAGCTGGGCAGCCACCAGGAGCAGCCATGGGCACATCCATGGCTCCAGCCACCTTCCCACCACGCTGCTGCCCCTGCTCCCTGCGCTGGCACCTCCAGAGCAGCAGCATCCTGTCCCTGCCTTCGAGGCGCCTGGCAGTGCCCCAGGGACCCCTCAGCACCAAAGCTCAGCTGGCAGTTTTGCTTTCAGGGCTGCTGGAGGGGAGGCAAAGGGACCCCAAGAGCAGAGCACGGCCCTGCAGGGCCCAGGGCACGCTGCTGCTGCTGCTGCTGCTGCTGCTGCCCTGCACAGCCCCAGCCGGCCTGGGACAGCCCCAGCACAGGAGCTGGCTGGCACCCTCAGCCGCTCTGCAGCCCCAGACAGCACCAGGACAGTGCTTACCATCCTCGCTCCCATCAAAGGGGGGTGACCTGCTGGAGGTGCTGGCCCCCATGGTGCGCCCAGCCCGGCTCGGCGCTCTCTGCTCCTCTGGGCTCTGCTCCCGCACTCGAAGCCTCTGGTTCAGTTCTGCTGCGGCCCAGCCCTGCCAGACCTTGGCAGCTCCTGCTGACGCATCCTGCAGAAGGCAGGAAGGAAAAGTTCATCATTTACAGCTTGCAAATGTCTCACTGGAGTTCTCTGCTCTGAGGACAGGACTGACTGTCAGGGAAAAGCACATTGCAATGGAGCTCACTAGAGAAACCAGCAGCACCCCAACCTCGTACCTCAGAGCAGGACTCTGCCCAACACAGGAAGGGCAGGAACAGACCAGCAGACACAAAATCTGGCTCGTGTTTTCTGTATTGTTCAGCATGTATTTTGTAGCTTCAGGGGTGACTAATTGTAGTGAGACCAATATCCAAAATAAATGGACATACTGACTTGGCTAGATAAAACCAAAAGGCACTTTTGACTGCTGAGGTCATGTAAAAGGGAGGGGTAAAAACTACGGAAGAAGGAATTCACAGAATTCACCTTTCGATTTAAGCAGTTACCCAAGTATTTCATTTGGGAAAAAAATCATACCATTCTGGTATTTCTAACAAAAAGATTCCATGTAAAATCAAGAATCTTTTTCTAACAAAAGGATTCCATTTAAGCAGCAACACAAGTCTTTCCTTTGGGAAAAAAATCACATCATTCTGGTATTTCTAACAAAAAGATTCCATGTAAAATCAATGTATAGTTTCCATGACAGGTCTGTAGAGTTTACTGACACCTGAGAGAGCTTGAACACTCTGTAAGTTCCAGCAGCCACTCTATTTTTTAAGCATTCACATGCAATGCACCTTTATGTGCTTGCTTTTGATAGACATCCCTGTGACATACAACTTCATACCTTGCTGCAAGTACAAAGCCTTAAAAGAACAAAACGAGGGAGTACCAGTGCAGCAAGATCTGGACCGGGTCCAGCCCAGAGCATTCTCCAGGGCATCTGTACGTTCACTGAACATTTCCTCAGATCTACACTTTGGAAACTACTAATAACTTCACTTCTTTAAATTAACAAAATTATGGTTAATTTGAGCAGAAGCAGAAAAGCATCTAAGAAAGATGTTGGAGAAAAGAGAATTACAGGTAACTGCATCTGTCATGGGATACAATGAGTTACCCCACCAGCATATGCAACTCCTTTTCTCCAGCTAACCAAAACAAAATCTTAATTTCCCATCTCAGAACTGAAACAAGATCCAGCAAGAAAACAAATGAAGCAGCAAATGCTTATGATTCCCATCAGTGCTTCTGGCAGGAACAGATTGAGCCTTCAGTCTCAAACAAACCAACAGCAGGAACTCTTTTTGAACCCCAAAACTTACTCTTCAGAATAAAAATAGACCTTCAGATGCAACAGCCATAAATCAGGTTCCCATATCACAGGTTCCCAAGGAAACTTCCTTGCACAGCAGTTTGGAGCCAAGTTCATTTTTGAAAATGCATCAATGCATACAAGCTCTGAGGAAGGAGTGCAGATATTCCTTGAAGTTAAGCTAGCCTGAGTAATGATTACAAGGATTTGCACCTTTACAAAGTGCAGCCGGGGGATGCAAATGATAAATCTTTTACTGTTTCACACTGCAAAGTCACAAAACCATTAAAATAATTACTTTTCCTGGGGCCAAATGTAGTAGGTGTTCCACGCGAACGTCGTGCTCGGCGGGCCCCTCGCTCCCTCGGGGGCTCCTCGGTCACGGCGGATTTACCGGCGGGACGGGGCATCCCGGCGCACAGCCCCGAGCGCACACACCGCGCCCGGCCGAGCGCGCCTCAGCCCCGGGAGATGCACGGAAACCCCGAGCGGAACGGGGGGAGGCAGCGCGGGATGCGCTCCGGGGGCACCGAGGGAAGGGCCGGGGGCGCAGCCCAGGACGGGCACCGGCAGCACCGGCGCGGTCACCGCTGCGGGGCTGCCGAAACCCTGCGAGGGACGGCTCCCTCCGAGGGCTCACAGACCATTTCTGCCAGCGCCTCTGCGCCACCCGAGGAGCCGGGACCGGGCGGTGACACACCGGAGGGACATCGCCCTGGGCTGTGCTCCCAGAGGAGCTGACCGTGACCCCGAACTGCCCCGCGGCGCAGCGGTCAGTGAGAACGAGGGGAGGCGCCCCGAGTTCCTCCCTCGGCGCCCTGGGCGTCTCCCGCGGAGCTCCGCGAGTCTCTGCGGTTCTCCCCGCCGCAGCCGGGGCTCGGGCAGACCCCCCGCCCGAACGCGCCGCGGGCAGCGGCGGAGCCGCCGGGCGAACCCCGCGCTTCCCGAGCCCGCAGCGAGCGCGGCCCCCCGAGCCCCCGCCCGAGCCCGCGGAGCGGAGCCCGCTCCGGGCAGCGGCCCCGGGGGCGCCTACCTGGGCAGCGGAGCGCGGGGACGGCGCAGCCCGCGGGACGAGAGGAGAGCGGCGGCGGAGCCGGGAGGCGGCCGGGCCGGGCCGGGCCCCGGTGGCGGCGGGAGGAGCCTGCGGCACCGAGAGCGACACTCGCGTGGGGCCGCGCCGCGGACACGCCGCCAGGAGGGTGCCCTGCGCCTGTCCCTGTGCCTGCGCCTGTCCCTGCTCCTGTGCCCGTCACTGTGCCTGTCCCTGTTCCTGTCCCTGTCCCTGCCCGTGTCACTGTGCCTGTCCCTGTCCCCGTCCCTGTCGCTGTCCCGGTCCCCGCCCTGCGGCGAGGAGCGACACTCCGTCGTTCTGGTGCCCCCGCCCCGCCGCCCCTAGCTGCAGGTCACCCTCTCCCCGCTCTGAGCCCCGGCCTTGCCCTCGGCTGCGTTCTGGAGGGGGTTCGGGCTCGGGGCGCTCCAGCCCCCGCAGCCGCTCACGGAGCCCGCTCCCCTCGCAGCCTCGGTCACCGATCCGGGCGAGGCCGTGCCGGGGTCACGGCGCCTCCCCTGCCCGCTCGCATTGCCCCTGGAAGGATCCCACCAGAAGACAGACGCCACATTTGTTGAGTAGGCCAAAGAAACAGCAGATGAGAGTAGAGAAGGCAGACCTGCAACAGCTCCTGTGAAACAGCCAACTCTGTTCCCCACTGGGCAATGGGAAAACACCGTTCTGCTTGCAGCAGAGGGATTAATTTTCCATGGGAAACAGAGATCCTCCTGTCCCAGAGCTGGGGCTTTGGTCTGCAATAAAAAGAAGGCACACTTAGGAAAAAAGAATCAGCTAAACATGTCTCCTACTTTTCCCAAGAAATTGAGCTTTTCTACCGTGCCAGCTCAGAAAGAGGAGGCATGCCCCAAGCTGGGGAATTTTTTCATTCGTACTAGAAAAGGAAACTCAGGGGAGTGCAGTGGTCTTTCTGTCACCCGTCATGCACAACAACCACCACGGCTTTCCTGGCTTGAGAAATGGGAGAGCTGTGGTGGATCTCTGGTGCCTTCTAATGGACAGGAGGCACGGCTTATCCCTCTCCTCCAAGGAGCTCCTGCCACCAACCCAGACACATCCCAGCACTTAAACCCCACCTCTGCCCCGGCCTGGGCACACCAGGCAAACCCCCGGGGTCTGCAAAGGTCAGAGGGGGCAAAGCCCCTGATGGCTGCCACTGAATTAAGAAATAAGTTTTAAAAGTTTTATTCACCTTTAAAATTTTAACTATTCAGCTAACTGTACTTTTTGTTCAACTATCAAACTAATTTTTATCAATGGCTTGCAAAAACAGAGAAGTTTTGCTATACTTATACTATGTATTTTCTGGAACCACAAGTCTTTAAAGAAGTGAAATTATACTGAGCAGCCATAACTCAGCTGTAATCTTCCATCAAACTTTAACATTATGGTATGCCTGTAATGTGTTAGATTTCAATACCCATTGCTGGCATCTCCTGTGATTGAAGAGGGCTTGCTTTCACAGCCCACAGCTGCCCACAGCTCCTTCTGAATAGGAATTGCCTTGCATGCTGTGCAGGGGGCTGCCAGTCCCAAAGTGCAGGTATTGATGTACATCCTTAACCAAGGTTAAAACTCACTGCAGGCTGTGCAGAGGTGTGGAGCACCCAGGGCTCCCCCCCTGCCGCAGGGGCTCTCCCATGATCAGGGATTAAGTGTTTTCTGGATGGGCACATCTGTCCCTGGTGCCTTATCCCCTCCACAGCTTCCCCAGCCCCTGACTCGGCACAGATGATGGCACCTGCACCCACTCTGCTCTAGGCTGTGAGGCGGCTGCTTCTGGAAACAGCTGGGACATGATTTTCACAGTGCAAACCACAGTGTTCCAGAACCTGCACTTTTAAACACACCAACCCAGCAAGATTTCTGTGGAGTCTGAGCTCCATTTCAGAGAACACGCTGAGGAATGTCGTTTCCTGGCTGCAGGATGTGAAGCACTAGGATTCCTCAGCTAGAGGTCACTAGAATTTAAGGCAGGACAGGACTTCAGAATCCAAAGTGACAGGAGGCTGGGTTGTTAACAGAGACTAACAACTTTTCATTTCAGAGAAATGGAACTCGTTAGTTAACACGGTTCATTGTCACACAAGGTGTCAAGAGGTGCCATGTACTTCATTAGTGAAATTCCATCCTTAAAGCAAGAACTGGTGTGCCAAGAGAAAGAACTCCAAAAACTACAGGGCAGGTCTGCACGGTCCAGACAGAAATTTCACAAATTAAGTTAGCAATAAACCTTAAAAACCACAACAACTTTCTTTAAATCACCCATCTCCAACATAGGAAAGGAGGGCTCAGTTACGACAGGCTTTTCCCAGCCTGGTGTCTGCAACAGTGGAGTGTTTGTGCTCTGGAAGCCTAGGGGTAGCCAGGGCTGAGAAACCCTGACTGCTGCTGCCAGCACTGCCAGTGCCAAGCAGGAATAACCCATCCCTGGTGTCAGTGAGAGAGCCACAGGGGTGAGGGCAGAGCAAACCCATCCCTGGTGTCAGTGAGAGAGCCACAGGGGTGAGGGCAGAGCAAACCCATCAGAGACTGTTGGGCAGAAAATGTATTGGTCAGCAGTGTTTATGAGAGCGAAGAT